TTGTTAATATTATATTAGCTTCTCAGGATCAAAATTTTGAAGGCACTGGAGAAATTGAAAAAAGACGGAATCGGAAACAAATCTGAAATTCCGGTAAGTATGTTACAAGTGTTTCATTAGTCAGCCTTACTCCTATCTAGTGTTCATTTTGATTTTAGTTCGATATAATACTTTTTTGATTATATTAATACTGATACAGTAATGCAAGAAGTATTATGTTCATTGCTGATAATGAATATTTAATGTTAAAGCTTTTTTAGTAATATGCTCTATCCATATTTCCCTATCTTATTTGTCTTAATCATTATTTTCTCTTCTTTTTTTGAGGTATTTTCAACAGGAACCAGAATAACGTGACACCGACAAAAGAAGAAAAGTATTAGCAGGTCTTACCATGGCTTTTGTTTTGTTTTTATCATTTTTTTTGGTATAGTTAGATTTAGACCCATTCCCGCCATTAGGAATAATAGGGTTTTTATTAGGCTTAGATACTTTTAATGTTATTCTAGCTTCTCAGGCACAGAACTATGAAGGGACTATGAAAATTAGGAAAAGACGGATGCAAGAAAAATCTACAAATTACATGTAAATATTTTTACAAATTTTATTAGGCTTAATATTGTTAATATTATCTTAGCTTCTCAGGCTCAAAATTTTGAAGGCACTGGAGAAATTGAAAAAAGACGGAATCAGAGACAAATCTGAATTTCCGGTAAGTATGTTGCAAGTGTTTCATTAGTCAGGAATACTCCTTCTATCTAGTGTTCATTTTGATTTTAGTTCGATATAATACTTTTTTGATTATATTAATACTGATACAGTAATGCAAGAAGTATTATGTTCATTGCTGATAATGAATATTTAATGTTAAAGCTTTTTTAGTAATATGCTCTATCCATATTTCCCATATCTTATTTGTCTTAATCATTATTTTCTCTTCTTTTTGTGAGGTATTTTCAACAGGAACCAGGATATCGTGACACCGACAAAAGAAGAAAAGTATTAACAAGTCTTGCCATGGCTTCTTTGTTTTTAATATTTTATTTGGTATAGATAGATTTAGACCCATTCCCGCCATTAGGAATAATAGGGTTTTTATTAGGCGATTTTTTTAATGTTATTCTAGCTTCTCAGGCACAGAACTTTGAAGGGACTGAAGAAATTAAAAAAGACAGATACAAGGAAAATCTACACATTACATTTAAATATTTTTACAAATTTTATTAGGCTTAGATATTTTTAATGGTGAGAAGTTCAATTAAGTGAATTTTATTAATAATTTCGATTCTATTGAATATTTTTATTAAATGGTTTTTGTTTTCAGAAGATTAGTTAACGAGAAATAGAAGAAGCCGAACAAGATCTGTGAAGACAATCACTATGAGGTATTATATAATGCATTAATGACTGGGTGGGTTTTTATGATTTTGACAAGCCACTATTTGTGGGAGTCAACGTTTTGATTGTTCACTGTGGTTTTATTGGTATAGTCATGTATCCGTTTGGCATTTAAATATGGGCATAGGGCGTTTCAGATTTTTCTGTAGCGCGATAGGACCCCATCAACAAGTCCTAACGAGTGGGAAAACCGACACCCCTTGGGTCCACATGGAAGCTCGGTATTATATCCTTTTTTATTTTATTTAATAAAAAATGCAATGTTACTATATGCAATTGAATATATATTACTGACAAATCTATTTAGATTATTTAATTAAATATGTGACTACTCCACTTACTTTGCAATATGTTTTAGTTGTATTTTGCATATATATAATAAATGAAGAAAATATATCTGTATATTAAAACAATTTATTTGCTTTGATAAATTTTGAATGTCTTGTTCTATACCGTTTCGAAATGGCAGAGCTATACTAGACAAATATTCCGAAAGACTATCACCAAAAGAAATGCAGTGAGAGGCCACCAAGAAACTTCATGCATGGGTGGTGAGCATGATCAGTTTTACTTTGCAACTTCATGCATAAATGAGCATAGTCAGTTTACTTTGCAATTTCGAATGGCAGTTTTGCAACTTCATGAATGGGTGCGCATAGTCAGTTTTACTTTGCAACTTCATGCATGGGTGAGCATAGTCGGTTTTAATTTGTAATTTCATGCATGAGTGAGCGTAGTCGGGTTTATTCATCGGGTTGTACTTTGTAACGCCGTGCATGGGTGAGCGTAGTTTGTTTTACTGTAACTTCATGCATGAGTGAGCATAGTCATTTTTATTTCGTATCGTCATGCATGAGTGAGCGTAGTCAGTTTTACGTAGTCGGTTTTACTTTGTAACTTCATGCGTCATGCATGAGTGGGCGTAGTCGGGTTTACTTTGTAACGCCATGCATGAGTAAGCGTAGCCAGTTTTACTTTGTAACTTCATGCATGAGTGAGCACATAGTCAGTTTTACTTTATAACTTCATGCAAGAGTGAGCATAGTCAGTTTTAGTTTGTAACTTCATGCATGAGTGAGCATAGTCGGTTTCATTTTGTTTGTAACTTTATGCATGGGTCAACGAGTCAGTTTTACTTTGTAAATTAATGCATGGGTGAGCGTAGTCAGTTTTACTTTGGAACTTCATGCGTGAGTGAGCGTAGTCAGTTTTACTTTGGAACTTCTTGCATGAGTGAGCACAGTCAGTTGTACTTTGTAACTTCTTCCATGGGTGACCGTGGTCAGTTTTACTTTGTAACTTCATGGGTGAGTGAGCGTAGTCAGTTGTATTTTGTAAATTCATGCATGAGTGGGCATAATCAGTTTTTTTTTAACCTTATGCGTGGGTGAGCGTAATCAGTTTTACTTTTTAACATCATGCAAGATTGAGCGTATTCAGTTTTACTTTGTAACGTCATGCATGGGTGACCGTAGTCAGTTTTACTTTGTAACTTCATGCGTGAGTGAGCGTAGTTAGTTTTACTTTGGAACTTCATGCGTGAGTGAGCGTAGTCAGTTTTACTTTGGAACTTCTTGCATGCGTGAGCGCAGTCAGTTGTACTTTGTAAATTCCTGCATGGGTGAGCGTAGTCAGTTTTACTTTGTAGCTTCATGCGTGGGTGAGCGTAGTCAGCTTACCTTGTAACATCATTCATGAGTGAGCACAATCAGATTTTTTTTAACCTTATGCGTGGGTGAGCGTAGTCAGTTTTACTTTTTAACATCATGCAAGATTGAGCGTAGTCAGTTTTACTTTGTAACGTCATTCATGCATGAGTGAGCATAGTCAGTTTTACTTTGTAACTTCATGCATGAGTGAGCACATAGTCAGTTTTACTTTGTAACTTCATGCATGAATGAGCATAGTTAGTTTTACTTTGTAACGTCAAGCATGTGTGAGCGTAGTCAGTTGTACTTTGTAACTCCATGCATGGGTGAGCGTAATCAGTTGTACTTTTTAACTCCATGCATGGGTGAGCGTAGTCAGTTTTACTTTGTAGCTTCATGCGTGGGTGAGCGTAGTCAGTTTTACTTTGTAACGTCATTCATGCATGAGTGAGCATAGTCAGTTTTACTTTGTAACGTCATGCATGGGTGAGCGTAGTCAGTTGTACTTTGTAACTCCATGCATGGGTGAGCGTAGTCGGTTTTACTGTGTAGCTTCTTGCGTGGGTGAGCGAAGTCAGCTTTACTTTGTAACGTCATGCATGAGTGAGCGTAGTCAGTTTTAGTTTGGAACGTCATTCATGCATGAGTGAGCATAGTCCGTGTTACTTTGTAACGTCATGCATGGGTGAGCGTAGTCAGTTTTACTTTGTAACTTCATGCATGAGTGAGCACATAGTCAGTTTCACTTTGTAACTTCATGCATGAGTGAGCATAGTTAGTTTTACGTTGTAACGTCATGCATGGGTGAGCGTAGTCAGTTTTACTTTGTAACATCATGCATGAGTGAGCGTAGCCAGTTTTACTTTAGAATGTCATTCATGCATGAGTGAGCATAGTCAGTTTTACTTTGTAACGTCATGCATAGAGAATTTTCTTTCTAGGGTCACTTTGGCCAAGATCTTGCTATTTTAACCAAAAACGTGACAATTTATACCAGCCAATCCTTAGTTTCGTCACGCAGTTTTGTACATATATGTTAAGCTAATACAACAGAGAGTGTCAATATGTTATGTAGAATATAAGCGACTTAGTATTAATGATGAGGCTCTACAAGAAGCCTATAACGTGTTGGGCGGTGACACTTCGGGCTATTAACTTCCTTTGATGTATCCCTGCCAGGTTTCACGATAATTAACAACTTAACCACTTTGAATATGTAAATGTGATGAATTAAAACGACGAAATTGTGTGGTGATAAAAACAAATGATTCCAGTATCATAGACCTGTAAATAATTCTTGTAATGTAGAGGTCCAAATAAATATATAGTAATGTTGAGGGTTGCTAAAGTTTACGGCAAACCCAACAGGCAGGTTATTAACATACTTTATTCTAAAATATGCAAACAATAGCAACATTAAATTATGCAAAACAAATCAAACCTCATCATTTAACTTAAAATCAAGCAAACATATCCGTTAATTGCGGCAAGTAAATTAGCACTACTCAACGGCAAACTCCTAACAATAAATAAATAGTAAACGGCCGACTGGCAATGATTCGAAATAATAAATAAACAAGAATATGAGAAAAAGAAAAGATTGATAAAGGGTTTTGTTTACGCCGACATGCCTATTCCTGCCCACGGACAGATGGTGAAATTGTTCTAAAAAGGGAGTAATTTATGAGCGGTCGACCATAAAACAAAGCTCAATGACCGATATCTCTTAAAATAAACACGGTCAAATATGTACAAAATAAAACAAAGAAACTTTGTCTGTAACATGTTACGTCGATGTGTTAATTAATTAATTTAAGTCTCTGCTTAAGATAGTTATTTAACCCGATGTCAGTCATTCAAAGCTTGCACAAGGTTTTAAAATGACAGCTGAAGCCCCATAAACGGCGCTCCAGAAGTGTGTGTACAAATATGGAGGTAACTAATTTTGTTGCCCACTTTACATCAAGGACTGAAACCTACGGTAAGGGGTATATTTACTTGGCCAACACAGGCAGTTCGATTTCAAAATATAACAAAAATAAGGAAAATCTGAATAAAGTTATTGCTTATTAACGCTAACCCAGTTCACATACTACGGGAATATTTATCCTATAAACTTATGGCAATGTGCAGAATAGGAACCAGCTTGCAGTTTTATTTACAATTACCAGAATAATAATGAACGTGAAAGACTTCTAACATATTTCCACCCATGTTTGTTTTTTGCCTAGACATGGGCCTTTGTCACAATATTCAAACATAGGTGAAGCAAGTATTTGCCTGAAGCAGCGGGCTAAGATTTTTTTGCAATCTTGTAATTTTCATGGCATACGACGCATCTGTTATTGAAGCTGACGTTTGCTATCTGTGCCCAAATCGAGATTTTAATACAACGATGACTTGTAATATCTTCTCACAATGGAATTGTTTGTCGGACAATGGTACAGAACAGTCACTCTAAACTTCATGGTCAGCGAAAGTAATTTTGCTGTCACCGATTTTGACAGACGGATCTTGATGGGCGACGTACCAACAGTTGAAAAAATGGATTGGTCTTCTTGTACAAGAGCTTTTCTACTTGTAATTACTGTCACGTTTCCAGTTGGTTTTGATAATTTTGGCAGTTTTGTAAAGCTGGGCGATTTATGCTGCTCAAACATACTTCCATAAAAAGCCACGATCTGCATTGCGCTGATAACAATATTGCCATATCATCTCTATTGTACATATTAAATAATGCCCAGATACGTTTTAATAATACTCCTACACCCCTCTCTTTGAAGTCCCAGATGAGCGATTTCATAAAAAATACAAAAAGGGTAGAATTTGGGTCAAGTCCCTGCTCCCTTGGCACAAATAGAAATAGCTACTCTGACTTCAAGTTTACAGGTAATGCGGTTTATTAGTTTTCTATATTCAACTTATTATTTAGTATACTTGCGTGATTAACATACAGATCTTCCGTACAACGGAAATTTTTATATTAATTTATGACATCATATTACATGAACATCTTTGTTATGACCCCAAAATTAATTTCACTAAGAAAACCATATGACGTCACTATGATTTTTCGCATTGTTGGAAATACATGATACTAATTACATTAACTGGCGTAACTTATTTCAAACTATCCATAATCAAATGAATTATGATAACCTCTAGTACATTGTGAGCTATTTTCACAGAGATATATAAATATAGAGTGTGCTTCTCTCTCGTTTTCGCGGGATCGTTTGAAGCCTCTCTCGTTTTGACGATATGCTTCCAAATTTTCCGATGCGCGCAATGCATTTCTTAAGGGATTTTACAGAAATTAATTATTTGCGTCGATTTTTTTTGCATATTCGCATGTTCTTGATTCGTTTCTCACTATATATCAAACGCTAATATACCCCAGCTTAGCATCTTTAAGGAAAAGTTTTAAAAAATAGAAAGTCATATATTTGACAAAATGCCGAAACTTATGCCTTTTTAATAAAACAAACTAAGCACTGTTGCAAACTATCGCCATAACAAAAAGGCGATATGCAATACTGTTGTATAAAATATACCAAGTAACCCATTAGTAAACGGGAGAAATCTAATGGAAATCCTATGTTATGATCTGATTTATTCAATACTTGTACATTACTTTCTATTGTGACCACTTGTAACACAAACATTTGTATACCTTATGTGTTTATTCTTACAGTTGAATCTCATGCGAATAGCAACACAAAGATCTTATTTGCATCAGATTATTTAACATATATTCTTGCTGTTGATTGTAATAAATTTGAAGGTAATTTTTGAAGTGTAACAATTACAGGGAACAAATTAGTTTTACTTTGCGTTTAATTAAAATTGAGTAGAAATCTTATATTTCAAGTCCCCGTTTCGAGAAACATCAAATGCGTTAAATGAGACAAAAAAAACATAGTAGCATTGTGTTTCCAGAGCAATCAGACACGCACAAAATAACAGATGTCATAATCTAATAAAATCCAAATTGTGTAAAATTTGATACCAAAACGGATACCTTGGTGTACTTAGTTTTGATCAGTTCTTACCAATATTCACTATAGTAATTATTTTCATATTACAACGTTAATTACAACATAGTCTCAAATTTTTCAGGGATTCGATGGATCGGAGTGTTTACACCAACACCATATCCAACAGCGGAAGATCTTCTTGGCGTCAGAAATACTTTGATTGATTTGAATGTGACATCGCCTCTAAATTTTTCTCAATGCCACGGCCGAAAATTGGATTGTTTGACTCATATTATATCCACTCATCATATTATAGAACGATATAGCAAATAAATATTCAGACACATAACAAAAAAATATTCACCTATTTCACTGTTTGTTTGATAGACAATGTTTGGAATACTTGCTTTATTTACTATCGGATCTCTCTATCAATCTCTCTTTCACTCTATTTCAAAGGCGGGGTATTACGAAAAATGTATTTGGGGAAATTGATTCTATATAATTGTTTAGAACGTAGTGCCTAACGTTTCCACAAAGTTTCCACGATGAAGGAATTTTCGAGGACCGCTTAAGTCAGTGGTTCTTTAACTTTGTGAGCCTGCCGAACCCCTACGCTATTCTGCAAGCTTCTGTCGAACCCCAAATATTTGAACTTAAAAGCGCAACCTGAACTTATTGAGGGTAAGTCGATTTTGTACAAATTTATAGAAAATTTGACCGTCTTCAATTGATAAAATATGAATTCGTTGCCTTATAGGTTGTTTTTGCGAGTTAAATTTGAAGGAAATGCTTTGTCAAGAGAGTATCAACCACCGAAAAAAAAACTGGCTGCTCCATTGGTTGTAGCAGAATAAATTGCAACAAACAGTAAACTTCAATTATTCATTAGATTTATTAGTGATACTTCTGCTGCTGTTTTTCGGTAACCAATTGAGAGATACGTGGCTTCAATTCAAAAGGGGCAATTCTCACGCCATTCTCGCATTGGAGTCACGTTCAGTTGAGCAGGTAAAGCCATACTGCAAATAGTCAGCAGACCAAGTTCTTTTCTTGGATGACATATTTAAAAAAAAAATCCTCGGAATTGCAAAGAGTTTTTGTAGTAAAGAAACGTTGAACAAATCTGAAAATTGTGGTGCAATTTCAGATACCAGTACGCCGGGTCGAAATGACTTGGAAGTCATTTGTGATATTTTTTATAGCTTGCCAATTGACTACTCTCGAAAACATTCCATCTGGAAATTTAGATGACAGATACCAGACTGAAGAAGGTATCTATCCAGAAAAGTTAAATATAATTTGATCATATTTGCAATTGGGTATTAAAGAGTTTCCCAAAATTGCCGCACCCCATTACGAAGGGCAAGTGTTCTCATAATTACTTATTGAAGTATTCCATTAGTTTAGCATGTATACTTCATACATCAAATACGTTCATAAATACTTGCCTGAGACCAGTCTACATTCTCTTTTGGTGTCTTGGTGTCAAACCACATTTGTCATAAATGAACGAGGTTGGATGGCTATGGACATCTATAACCACAGTAATGCACGCTGTTAGAAATAGGCTGCATGTCAACATAATGCAGTTTATACAACCTTCTTCCAGCAAGATTTTCAGAATTATATCGTCAGATGTAAGTCATTCCATATAGATATCAGACGTGATAGGAAATGACGTTTCCAGAGATACTACATGATTTCTACAGCTTTGTTTACAATTCTCTTCCATGTACTGTTATATATCTGCACATTTTCTAGGTGAACCTCACAGTTGTAAAGCTTTAGGTTTTCGCAAAAAAAAAACGGCAGAATATAATTCAGAAAATAAAAATCACTCTGAAATTAACGCCTTCCGAAATCAAAATTTTAGAAAAGTTACAGTAAGGAATATCGATCACGACATTCTTCATTCCATCATATTATATGATACTACGTTTCAAAATCATTACTGAAAGAATATTATTTGACTGTTTTATTATGCTTTGAAATAAATAACCAGAAAAGAGAAATGTTTATAAAATTAAACGAAACCATGCAGTAAAACGAAATTCGGCATCTTTTCATTATTATGGCGGTATGCGATTGGCACGGATATAAAACCTATAGTTACACCGTGGAAAATTCTGTTGCATTTCTGATGCTAATTTTACTTCAAGCATATTTATGTTTGCTCATTTGTTCAACTAAAGCTAATTCATCACGAGTTTATTAAAATTTGTGATAAAGGCATAAAAGCTTTCAAAGTTCATATATATATCCTGAATTGAGTTAAGTAAATATTTGTGTGAAATACATACTCTTGACATATCAAAAGTTTTATATGTATTGCAAAAAAACAATTCGTAGCATGAATTGGTGAGAGATATCACAAAGTGTGGTTCAAATCATTGTCAAAGTAGTACCGGACCCTTTTCTCCCTCTTGTACCCGAATAACGAGAGGAAATATATATAAGAAATCCGCTTTGAACAAATAAATGAATCGCCGTGGTTATGAATATTATTGGTCCAAAAATTTATTCGTAGTGCATCATCTTTCTAATTAATAAAGTGTGACTTCGTTCAACTTATTATATATATACTGTAACAAAGACATCGAGAGCGAAATCATTGAGGGTCATTGGTCAAAAATTTGGGTGGTCAATATCAGCAGCCTCAGTCAAGGCAACTTCATTACATATTCTTATCAATACCACCGATGTAGATTGCTTCGGCGTTGAGACTTGATTTGCTATTTGGAATTGAAAATGTTGAATGATTAGATAACGGACTTTGTGGTGAGTTACGCGTCAAAATAATTCGTGTCCCAATTGTATGATTGTCACCTCATGTGAATACCGTAATCATTTGCTCCAAGATATATATATATTCTATAATCTATATGGTAACAGTTAGAATAGTGGGACATTTGGTATATGTGAGACAAATGCCCTAAAATGGCACAAATTAGAAACGGCATTTGTAGACACCGTAGGCTACCGGTACTGTGTCATTGTTAGTCATTGTACCTTCGTACCCATCTTTGGACATTGCTCTCTTAGAATGGAATAAATAAAAAATACTTTTTTAGAATAAAAACGAAGACTTCTGCATATTTCAGAGAAAAACGGTGTTTTTCACTCTTGTTCAATCTGACCAATTTGTTTCTCTGTGGAACTAGAGATGAGTGGAATTCTATCAAACAAAAGCTGAACGCTAAGACACGAGACCTGTGGCAAATAAATCCATTAAAACCGTTTTTCCTGCTTTTACTAGCTATGATACACCAGGGACTCTATTGAGCCCATTTCCCTTTGAGTCACCAATCGTTTTTAGATGTTATTACACCGTGCATAATATACTTTCTTTATTTTCTATCAGCTCTCTCTATGTGTATTTTTGTCTATTTAAAAGGTAAAAAAAATTAACATTTACATAAAATCGGCTTAGTTTTCATGGCATTATTTGTAGGGTTTGAATCAGCAGAAATCAATTACAGCCACTTCAATGAACCGAGCTGACCTTAGATGACGCTGGAAGCAGAGTCCGATCCATCGCACAAACATGTGCATCATAATGACGCACAACCTGAACCATAACCTGTTACAATACTATATTCAGGTTGTGCGCAATCTTGGTGCACAAACTACGCAAGCACCAAATTTTCTAGAAAATAAAATCAACTTTTAAGTATTTGTTGAGCCCAGCTCTGGGTCGCGACCCATATACAGTATATGGAAATACTGTCGAAATATACGCGTAAAATAAAGAGTACTATTTCAAAATACCCGTTTTTGTTGCAATTAACAATACAAGCCTGCTAATGCAGTCGCCAGTGGTTCAAGTGGATATACACCCGGTGAAGAACAGTCAATTATTTGTTAGCGAGAATTGTTATGCAGCGGGATGATCACGACGACGCAGTGAAAGATAATGATATCACGAGAACAAGAATGAGAAAATTGCTACATTATATAGTATATCCCTGGGAAAAAATGTAGTTCATTCTTATGTTCCATGCCAATGCTTTTCAAACTACCAAAGACTCTCAACACTTTTGCTTCTTCTCTTCTATAAAAATACATTGTTATTATATATTCGCATTTCCATCTGTTTGTTCGTGCTCCCAGATAACCGATCAGTGGCCTCCAAGGACGACGGGGTTCCCTTTTAAGAAACCCTGTCATAAACTAAAAGAGGCGACCGTGCTTCTCTTGCCTGTTGTCATGCTGTCCCTGGAATTCAGCTACAACAAAAATTTGACAAAAACGGATTTTTAAATTTTATGATTTTATTAATATTCTCAACAATGAATGATATACGGGTGGTAAAATGCCAAGTTATTCCAACAACATGATCATGTTTTGCAATTTACAATCAATATTTTGTATGTAATTTTGTTTGACAGAGCCCCAAGAGCTCTAACTACAAATATCAAAAATGTGAGGCCAAAAAAGTCACACTACAACATTGTCAAATCTGCTGTACTTACGATAGATTTTAGGTGTTTGTTTCGGAAGTTTAATAACAGAATTAATTGTGGTTGTTGGGGATGTTTTAAAAAAAGGTTGCATGGAAAAAAGATAAGTATACGCAGCAATTGCGAGAGGCAGAAATGCCAAGATGGGATTTCATCGCATTGCAAATCAATATTAGCAATTCTTATATATAATCGCGCATTCCCATCTGAACAGCGTGGAAAAGATTATACCCATCTACACATTTTAAGAACTATGTCAGATGAGGGTCATATTATCGAATATCAGTAAAAGAATAGTGCAATGGGAAAAGACATATAAGGCGGAACTTTCAGTAGTATGCAATCAAACAATCTTATTGTAGAATATATATTTAAAAACATTTCGTCACGCCAACTGCAGTCCGAAACTTTTTGTCTCTGGCTGAGGTTAGATACCAATTGGCACTCATGTAAACTGGTAAGACTGTAAGAGGCACGCGATGGAGCAGATACTAAGAGTATCTATCCCCCAGCTGTCATTTGAGTGAGTACTGCTGTTTTTATTGCAGATGTTACTGATCTTTTCGTATTAAAGATTTACTGGCATCACCGATTTAAGGATGTTGGAAACCAACACGCAATATTACAAAACTTACTTTCAACACGCGGTTTGAATGAATGAAAAAGCTTAAACTAGTATTCTTTAGAACAGCATACAAATTCTATGGAATGAAATCATACACAAGAGCTCGTCAAAAACTTATAGCTCAATAATCAAGTGGAATTTGATGCATGTGCGCAAAACTGTGCGCGTTACTACGTACAACCGAAGCACGCAGGAAAATGTGTGTGATGTACTAGTATTCAAAACGTTTGACTCAACTATGTTGGCATAACAGGTGCACATCTCGGTTTTGCATACGCATACCTTCTATCTCCACAAAGATATATTAATTTTATCAAAGTCAATGCAGCACTGAAAGGTTGCGGTTCTTCCAAAATAAAACACGTTACACATCTTTAGATACCAGTGGATGGTTTTACATGGCCTTGTTTGGAGTGAAAGACGAGGTCAAATATTCCAATCCAATTCAACTAAGAAAATATAATAAGTCCCTAAGCTTAAACTAGGAAAACGAAATGCGCGTGGCAACGCAAATGTAGTTCGAAGAGCGCAATAGAAAGTGGCTAGATGTTGTCGATGGATCTTGGCTTGTATTAGTGAAAGAAACTGCCATTTATTCACCTAAAATTCATTGTAAGGTGATTCAATGTTACTATGTATGCAAAACTAAACCATGTAGTTATGAAATAGTTTTTTTTCAACAAAAAGGCGCTCCTGAAGTAGTATATGTACCAAGATGGCGCACAACCTGAAAATTGTATGTTTACCAGGTTAGGGTTCAGGATGTGCGTCATCTTGGACCGAATACTTTAAATCCTTTAAAAAAATTGTACAAATGTCTACACATGCCGCGCACTGGGTGTGGCGTTCTCTGTAAGACTTCCCAATGTGCCCCTCCCTGTAAACAATATTTTTGCTATTGACATGCCCAGGTAGCAGAAAGTGCGCTTCAGCATAAAACCAATG